TCGTAATCCAGTTCATTTGTGAATTATAATTACATACTGTATTGTCACTGAGGAGTATTTACATACCATTGTGTAAGTCAGTGTATTCTGGTGCATACTAAGTAATATTGCAACCTGCGAATCCTACATGGAAAGTAGTATGCTTGTATATGTATTGCAATCACATGAATGAACACCTAATGCGATCTGAACATTCACCCAACTGTAAATACTTCCTGGGGCATAATTGAGATTTCTAGTGGTTAACTTTAACTCACCTGGACAATGTCTTGGTTTCATTCGGCATTGTCTTGACTCTGTTATTGTCGGACAGTATCTTCCGTTGAAAGTTGGCTGAATTAACACTTCTCTCGTTCGTGTCTCAAGTCCCCATTTAAAGCCACAAGTTTTAGCCATTTTTAAACACATTCCCCAACCACTCCATGTGGCGACTTCGCAGTCAACTACAAATAAACAAAGACAGAGAAATAATTAAAACGATGTGCTTATTACTATCATTATACTGGCATTGTATGTATTGTGGTCAATCTAGACACTTTCGCAGTTTGTCGAATGTCCCATATGATTACAGCTGCTAATGTATATGTGTGGTGGCGACACCCGTATTAGACTGTGTTAGAAGAGTTTAAGCAATTGTCTTTATGGAACTCATTTAACCGTATGAGCTTTGCAATCAAGCAAGATAATTTAAACCACATTTATTTTCCATACTCTAAATTACTGATTTTAGAAATGTGATTGGTGACTGGCTTGTGTGGCTGATGCAATGCTATAGTGTGATAGGTGCGCGGTAAATTAGTGAAATTTACATGACATTGTAAATGAAATCAACATCAAAACCTATTGAAACATAAGCGTGTTTTAATAAAGCTTGGTGCGACTCAGCCTGTTAAGAGAGGTGTAATTTGTAATTTGAAAATGATAACACCATTAATGAAAATGTTATATTTTAAAAGCTAATTATAAACTACAAAGCATATTAGCGGCATTTGCGCGTGATCGTTTACCTGTCCGTCTACACTCGCCTGTTTTCTCATCCGGGTACGTTCCATCCGGGCAACTTTCCACACATTCTCCATTACACAAAAAATATGGCGACTTGCAACGTGTACAGAAATTTCGACTGAAACACTCCTCGCAATTGTCAACACGGCATCCTGTAAAACAAATAGAGAAACACAAAATGTAACATTACTATTGGTATAAGGCGAAAAGAATAATTGAATATATTCCCCGCTATGGGCGCTGTCTGGTACCGAATGCAACTAGTTTATCAATATTTATTATATTGGCGGCCATCTTGAATTCCCGTCGGAATTTGTAGGAATCTGAATGTTGTGTTTCATAACTTGTCTTTGTTTATGTTCGGCGAGAATCCAAACTATCATTGTCATTGGTGATACAGTGACATCAACTTACTGTAACATCTGCTCATATCCACCCCTCGTTGCCCATAGAAACCAATAGGACACGCATGCGTACATATACCAATGTGTTTCATATCACTTCGATGCAAAAGTAGGAATAGCCTTGGACGACACGTGATACAACCATTGAATGTGGAACAAGTCTTACAACCTCTTGGGCATACTAGAAAAATAATGTCCATATTGTTAGTATAATGCGCGTTAAATGATAGTTGTCATCACACAACACACGATCGTTAGGGAGGGACTGGGACAAAAAAAAAGAACGACGGTAGACTTTCCCGTCAATAGGCCCGCTCAAAAACCGGGGATGGGCAATAGTGCTACATTGTCTGTCATAACAAATCCCACGCAGATAAACTACTAGTATTTATGATTGTTTATTCCCGACCTCAATAACACTAATATTCAAAAACGACTAAAAAATCACTAGCATCTCCTAAACAAAACTGAACATCTAGACATTGTTTTTATACATAAATATCTACACTACGGTTATTTGTAACTGACTTTGCCACCAATAATTACTCTGAGTAGTCATTCTGAATGTTGGCTATTACAGTTTGGAACAATTAGTGCTGAAGCCCGACGGCCTTAGACCGGGCGGCCATTCTGTGGGATTTTTCCTGAACGCACAGAGAATCAGTCCGCCCTTGCCTGTGAACAAGTAAATGACATAGTCCCTGGCAATAGTAGAATATGAAGTCACTATTGTGTTGATCAAGTGAAAAAAGTAGCATATTGACAAATAATTGCCGTCAGTCGGTCTTCGAATTGGATCCCGAAAAATGACAATGTGCATCTATATCTACAACCTTATATATATTGTCACCAAGTTCGATAAAAATAGGGTGAGTCATTTCATGCAGTTGGTTGCAGACAGGCCCAAGTTTTGGTGTTTAATGCTTTGATTATCAAAATGGCCGCTAGACAGCCACATTAGATCAGATTATGTAACAAGCTTAGGTTGATATCGTATCACTACCACCAATCAGCAATCATGTATCGGATCTTGATAAAATACCAAAACATAATGAAATCGACTCGATCATCTCTCAGAACCGGTTGTAGTCTCGTTAAAGTAAAAATGGCCGCTGGACGGTCATATTTATCAAAACGAAAACAAAATTGACACACACGAAAGGATGTAGCTCGAATTAATAATCGTCATTTTCGAACTTCGTCTCAACAGATAACTAATAGACAATGTATATTACAGGTGCCATTGCACCAAAATGTCCTGCAATGAGCGCCCTCTATGTCGCAACATGCGTGTAAGTGGTGTCATTTAGCAGCCAGTTCTTGAAGTACAACGTCTGACAACTTGAATGATGCTAACAAATTAACGTGCATGACACAGTGGTTCAACATTGGGTTTTGTGACAGGCATTTTATCAGTGCAATCATCGAGGAACAGAAGAATAGAGGCTGAGAATGGACTAAGTGAAGTGTGAACGTCCCTAAGAATTTGGACTATTTTGAAACGTATTGTTAACTGAGATGATCCTGTTATTTCGATCAGTATTACTCGGTAAAAGGTCATGACATCACTTATCGGTCTCTCAAATTGAAGAAAAAGGAGAGAAAGGAATTATAAGAAAGCAGCCAAGTGTTGTGACAAAGCATTACAGTCGCAGACAGGCATTTTAGAGTCAACTTTGAACAAAGCTACACGAACCATTATGCTGACCTTGTTGTGTTTTTATTGTAAAATCCTGTGTTTACATTTTCAAAGAAAGGTGTGTTTTTTTCAAACGGGAGGGGGGAATTCAATTGTTTTTAAAAGTGCGAGCTATCCAATGTAAATGGGAAAGGCGGATTTAGCATATATATAGAACTTGAGATAGGTTTTTTGTGATCGTCTATGATTTAGTGAATATTCAGACATGACAATGATTCCATTTTCTATCACTTTATAACGTAGGGGCCGTGGATTGGGAGTCTAATCGGTACTCGGGCGTAGATGAAGAGACGAGTATGGCTCCCTCATCTCAAGCTGTAATGTACACTAGAACTTACTTTGACGGTGTTAGCAGCTGAACTGAAACGACGTTGACAGCTGTCTGTCTCGTGGTAACATTCCGAATGGTGAAGGTATTGAGACGACTACCTCCGCTCACAAAGTGTGACATTGAAGGCACCATTTTGTGTATGGGTGGTCGTCTCGCGAGACGATGGTATCACCCCTTGGGCTAGGTAAGGCTTATCGGGATGAGTACATTGCTTATTCGTGAATTCGTCAAGGATTGGGTTACCCGGAAAATGAAATATTCGTGCAACCATCATCTCGACGTACAATATATTGTCCAACTAGTCATTGTAAGAGCGCGTTCACTGAAGCTGTCATTTCTTGGCGCAGTGCGACGTGGCGTGACAGGGAGCGCGTCATCTTACAGTGGCGTTGCGCATTTGTCGGGTTTTGAGTTTTAATCTAGTTTTTTTTTGGTCAAACTGAAAAAAAGAGTTCCACTATAGTGACTAGTTCAAATCCCTTGACGGAAAGGGACGATAATTATTCACAAGAATAGTTCAAATAACACGAGTAATATGTATTCCTTGGGGATCGAACCCGGGGATCGATCCCAGTATCTCTACACGGTGTTATCTTTCAAGCGACTCCAAGAAACCACCTTGCGTTTCTTTCATGCGTATTGCAAAAATAAAAACTACTGTATAATATGTCTGCCGATGCAGCTATCCAAGTTAACATTATATGAGACAGAAACATTACTTCAGATCACGTGACTACTGAAATTTGACTGGGTATTATTACTTGACATACATCTATCGTCTCGAGTGGTCAGCCTGGACGTAATGAAAAACCCAACACACATACGCATATCATAAAATGCTGACATACGTGATTTTTACATTCAAGATGTTGATGGGTAAACACCTTGTTACTGAGAGAAAAAGTTGTACTTGCTGCGTCCTTGTATCGTCCAATAGCGATACGGCGTGCACAAATATTTGATTTAACTATTTCACGACATTCAGGAATTGGACCAAATGTGGACAGGCACAGAATATACAATTTTCAAATTGCGTGTGAAACGTTTGGTATATTAACCTGAAATGACTTTATATTGTACTTTCTGAGACTTGGTACAAAGTAGTTCAGAAACTATCGTCAGATGTTTTAATAACTGTGATGCTAGTACAATCTATTTCAAGGTTTTAATTTAAAAACTTTATTTTAACAACTTTCAGTCGGAAATTGTAGTCTGCTTTTTCGATCTGAATGATACCATTGTGGGTAAAGTATATGATAACGCTGTTGGGCAGGTTTAAGTAGCACTCATCGCTCTATCCATCATCTGGCACAGTAAAATGAGGACGACAACAACTTTGTTACGGTTCGAAGCAACTGAAATGTTAGCTTTTAGCAAACAAAATAATGGAGCGAGTTGGGGTATAGAATTACGATTCGTCCATTCAATTCATCCAATGCCCCTTGTGTGCCCTTGAGAAAAGAATTAACAAACACGGATTTGACTGCTTGTTGCGATACTTCAGTTCGGTCAGTGGTCGACCTCGATTGTGTTCCAGCCATAGACTCTTAGGATTTCGTTTGTAACGGGCAAATATCGGTTTCTTGCCCCTGGAAGCAATTTATTTCATAAATAGAATGCTATAGTTTGCTGTAAAGTGCTGTTTCTTGTTAGCGGTGTATTTCCCTGTGGTTCCTTTGTTTTTGTTTAGTAACAAGCCCCATAAACAGTTCTCAGAGTGTAAGTAAACTACGGACGATATGCCCAGGTTTGATGGGAAACGTATTCTCGTATTTTGCAAAGTCACACGACGTTCAAATAAAAACTACAAATTGCGAACTCACATTTCCCTACTCAAACACATAGCGAAGTGCCTATTACGTATTGCGTTAGTTTAGTGTTTATTATTCTCCTTAAAAACCTGTTCATGACATCGATGTGCAATCTACAATCAGGAACTTTCAAAGAATGTGCCAAGTTCTTAAACTACGGGCGATGTGAGGGTAATCCCTAATTGCGTTGGCGATAACAAATTACTGCGCCAAGTCAAGGCCAAAAAATGAACCGCATTGTAGTGTCACGAACACATACAATATCGTGTGGACATTTTGTATTAGAAACACGGCACCAGCAGAAGAGTCGATTTGGCAGTGGAGAGATTGGTTAATCGTCATACGGTGTGCAGATTTGACGTCGTACAAGGCCGAATAACAGTTAAAATGTTAATGGAATCATATTTAAATTTGTGAAATACGAATGATGTGACATTAATATTATTCAGTCGGCAACCACCTGTCAGAGCTATCCCGACATTCATAGGAAAGTGGCAGATAAAACATGTCTTAGTATTTTACTTTAACTATTTTCAAATTATATAAGATTATGACGTGACATTAAATTTACCTCATATCGAGATACTAGACAAGGAACATGTGATCGTACATACATACAATAAAAAGATGTTACAATCTTCGAAGACAGCGATGCTGATAAAGTGGATCCCGCACTGAGTCAAACCCAACAACTAAACAGTTTCCTGAAACCAATACGTAATGAAATGTGGATTCTGTGGCACGATTGTACGGCAAGAAATCAATACCGGAAAGTTTCTCTCTCACAAAAATGTTTTTATTTTTTTTATTTTTTTTTTACAAGTACAAGCTGAGTCGGGGAGTGGAAGCAGACGAATGTCGCAAATTGTTTCCGCTGGGTGAGTCGATGTGTTCACATGCTTTGTGACACTGTAAGTAGGTATGGGTATAGTATGGCACTATACGGTATTCTGCGCCAGATATTTTTAGCACAACACGTTTTGCTCACTTGACAATGCATACACGGCATGTGGCGAGTGTGAGCCATCACAGTGAAACTACAGTTACGTGCGAGTTTGTACGAAACCGACCCTTCTTATGTGTTCGTGGTCCAGTTTCAGCAATTTACCACCGTAATTCAGTAATCCGTAACTCACCCTCTTTCCCTCAGCTACTATTGGATACCGTCTGTACAGCAATTGATTTCACAGAATTGTATTTCTACAAAAATTTTCACATTGTCATTTTAGTCAACTGCCGTTCCGTTTAAATTGCATCCATATTTACGTTATGGTAAACACATATCATACCATGTGTGGCGCCCTATGGGATATGTGCCTGTACAGGTTATGTACATGTAT